CTATGGCAGCGGGGTCGGAAAACCAAAATAACAAGAAGGTAAAAAAATAAAATAAAAATATTTCGGTACACACGAAAAAAAACCTCTAAATATTTAAAAAGCCGCAATGGAATCTGAAAAAAAAAATCGGTTACACGGAAGAAAAAAAACCTCTAATATTTCAAGAGCCGCAATGGAATGTGATTAGGAGACAGTGGTTCCTTAATAAATAACTGTGACGACGACGAAGCAGCAACAGCTCCTTTTCGTGGCACCGCGTGAGCCGCTGGAGGCGAAGATTTTTTGCCGACGACCCCTGATCTCGATGAACGCGATCTCGCATTTGTAAGCGCATTGCTTGTTATGCTATTTCAATTATTCACGCATCGCAAATATGTACATATATAGAAATAACTAATTATGTAAACCTCCCCCCCCACAGCCGCCACCCCGTATGACCATTCTAGATTGTTGGGGCTAGTACTGTTAGCGAGCAGCACTGAACATGATAAACAAAGTGGTTGGTGGTGCTGCAACCACTGCGTTGGTAGTGGTGCGCAATTAATGGCAACAACACAACACACTCGTCAACAACACTGTGGGTTCTTAACCTTTAAAAAAAAACACGAAATATGTATAATGTTAATAAACACACGGGGTCTGATGAAACAAAGTTGTTACGTAACGTGCCCGCATTTTTCATTTGTGTTGTTGCTGATTTTTCTTATTTAAAAAAAAAATCTGGACATGTCTCGCTACCCCCCATCAGAAAGGGCATCTCGCACCCCAAGGTTAACAGCCGTTGAGTAATAAAACGAAAAATTATCGAACATCGCCGACCTTTTTGAAATGGACCTTCTTCTTCCACCCACGTTGCTACGCCTTGCATTGCTTTCCGTTCGCACGACACGCGGTCAATCCCACGGCAAACTTAAGTCACACAAACCTGTGACTCATCTCGCAAAATTCATTATCGTCACTCAGCCTTGCCGTAGGTTGCGGCTGGCACGGCATCACTCCACGTCGAATTTCTTTCGCACCGTACGTAGCCAACCGCGCTAATCGGAGGTGCGTCTCCGTATGTCATCGTTCACGCGACTCCGTCGCCTTAGAAAGGTGCAACGAACACAGGAGGCCTTCATTGAATGTCGCGATGACGATGTGTGTACGTTGAACTTCGTTCGCACCGTACGTAGCCAACCGTGCTAATCGGCGGAGATAATAACCAAGGCGGTGATGATGATGATGATGACGGTGATTATACGTTGGTTAAATTCCGATGAGTAATTAACGCTATAGGCCTCTGCAGCGTTTCGTTCGCATTATAAGAACGCAGCCTTTCACGTCTCCGTGTTTGAAAGGAAACGCTGCTGGGTGTGCGTCTTACATCCCCGAAGCGTCTCGCCACGCCGAGGACACCGCTCTCGTTCTGTTTTCGTGACAGCTCTCGAGAGCGCGGTAGACGCGATGCAACGGCGTAGACATCGCGCAACGCCATTGGCAACGATTGGCCTACGTACGGTGCGAAAGAAGTTCTGCATGCGCGGAAGCATGTAGAATCTGTCTGCCCGCCTGATGATGCCGGTTGTAATTACTGGCGAAACGTCGTGCTCGGATTGTAAATGGTGTGGCTTGGCTTTCCAACACACCGGTGTTGCCGTACTAGTAACGAGTTGCTCACGTTCTGTTTACGTGCCAACACCTTACTCATTGGCTGTGTCGGGTGGTGGCGGGTTTAACGACACATTTATATTTACGCGATTTAACCAATAAAAAACACTACATTATCGATGCATGCGTAATTTCCATCACCTGCAGCTCGTTTGGAAATCTACTTCTGGATGAACCCCTCCCCCATTCCCGCGTTTGCTTCGTCAAGAGAGTTCAACATATACGCGTCGTAAAGTTCACATACGTGTCGGCGGAGCGGTGGCGCAGTGGTTAGCGCACTGCTCCCACGAACCCAGTCACCCAAGTTCGTGTCCGGGCCACGGCTAACATCGGCGGCGAGCGACATCTAAACGGTCGTGGGCAACTCCCCCCCCACCCCTTCCCTTCATCAACCCGCGCCGACCAGCGTGGTGAAGTATGGTCAAGCAAGGCGGTGGTGGCTAGGCACGTGGCCTGCAATGCGTAGGAGGCAGCAGCGAGGTTTGGTCGATCACCGCACAGATGGGAGCCGTACCCCGGCTCGTCAGGTGGAATGCGGTAAAGCAGAGCAGAGTTTTATGTTTTATTTTTATTATTTTATTATTTCAATTCTACGTGACTTTACCGAAAGAACCAAGAAGATGAATCCCTGCAGTCACGAAAGCTTTGAATCGAAACAGAGCAGTGGACTCAACCTGTTCCATCTGCACGGGGATATCTTGCACCTCCGTCGCCACGCGTGGGTTTTCTCCGGGGCCGACAACACCCTGGCGTCTGGAGATGGCCGCTTGGGTGATCGTAGCCACGGCGTGACCACGTTGCTGCCTTCCTGCTTATCCGTGGTTCCTCCATCTTCCTAGCGTCTCTGAGTCGTGAGCTCCCCGTCTCTCTCTCTCGCTCTCTACGAGGGTAATGAGCGAATAGTCTACGGCGGTGGTGCGTTACAAGTTGACATTATCATTGCAATGGTTATACTGCATGGTGCTTATTTTTTGTTTTTGACACGTATATGGGAAGATCGTTTGTAATGGAAAAGGAACGGAAAATAGACTTGGCTTAAAGCTTTCGTGACCGCAGGGATTCATATTATTTGGGTCTTTCGGTAAAGTCACGTGGATAGGCTCAAATTAATAGAAATAAAATATATCATCGGACCTCCTTTGCCAGTTCCAAAATATACTAATCGGGTATCCCCTTTATTTTTCTGGCAACAAAACTGACACCTTGTGCAAGGAATCATGTTTACATTAACCACAATACTTTTTGTTTGCATTTGACTGCAAGTATTGTGGTTAATGTAAACATGATTCCTTGCAAAAGGTGTCAGTTTTGTTGCCAGAAAAAAAAGGGGAAAACCCGATTAGTAGAAAAAAAAATAAACAAAAAAATGCAACATTTCGATCGCAACACCAGCGGTCGTCACCTCTCCGCCTGATTTGTTAATTTTATTTTTTATCAATTTGAACCGATGCACGTGCCGTTACCGAAAGACCCAAATAATAGGATAATATGCACTGTAACATGATAACAAGTGTAATGTTAATAGCTTCAACAAGTCAAAGGGTCTCCCACTTGTTCGCCGTCGTTGTCAACACCTGCCTGGAATCTTCTGTTGCAAATTTCTCTGAAGTGTTCACATATTTTTGAAGCACCCTGTATAACGAAATGTCTCGAAGCCACTCGAAAGTTCTGTGATCGAAGCGAATCATCGGCGCGGTGAGACGCATCGACAATGAAGGCGCATCTCACCCACCACCGCCGCCACCACCCCCAGTGTGTTCTTCAAGATGATACAGAGAAGTGTTTGTGTCGAATGAGGGATTTTGCTAAGTGGTGATGGAGAGAGGCTGGCGGGGGGATTTGAAATCACCCTGCAGTCATCGTGCTCCTCCGTGGTGTGTGAACACGCGTGCGTGTGTGTGAACATGTGTATGCGTGTGAACACGCGTGTGTAAACACGTGTGTGTGTGAATACGCGCGTGTGTGTGAACATGTGTGTGCGTGTAAACACGTGTGTGTGTGAACACGCGTATGTGTGTGAACACGCGTGTGTGTAAACATGTGTGTGTGAACACGCGCGTGTGTGTGTGTGAAAATGTGTGTGCGTGTAAACACGTGTGTGTGTGCACGCGTGTGTGTAAACATGTGTGTGTGTGAACACGCGTGTGTTTGTGAACACGAGTGTGTGTAAACATGTGTGTGTGTGTGAAAACGCGTGTGAGTAAGCATGTCTGAACACGCGTGTGAACACGTATGTGGGTGTGAACACGTGTGTGTAGTGTAGCGGTTAGCGCGCTGCGCTAGGAATCCGGCGACCCGCGTTCGATTCCCGCTCACGGCCAACACCAGCGACGATTATCTGAACCGGTCCTGAGCTTCCCCTAAGTCAACTCAGCCTCAAATGAGTACCTGGTGCGGTGTGTAGTAAACATCGTCTCCGAGGGAGACAAAGGCGGCCGGGCGTGGTGCTGGCCACTAACCCCATCGTACGCTGTGCCGGCCTTCATAGGTGCTCGCTAACAGCGCTTGCCCCAACAGTCTGTAAATGTCTATACGGGGTTGTTTGTATGTCTATGTGTACGTTTAAGTGTTAACGTTTAGTGTGTGTCTGCTTTGTGTGTATACCGTATATGTGTTAGTGTGTACTGTTTGTGTGTGCATGCGTATATGTTTGTGTATAGCTTTGTACGTGTGTATGTGCGTCTGTATGCGGTTGCGTGTATGTGTCTGCGTGTGGGCTTCTATATGTTTGTGTATGTCTTTGTGTATGTGTCTGTGCGCGGTTGTGTCTTCATGTTCGTGAATGGGTTTGTGTATAGATTTGTATGCTTGTCTGCGCACAGTTGTGTAGATGATTGTGTATTTATGCTGCCGTGTTTGTGTGTTCATGTTTCTGTGTTCGTGTATCTGAGTCTCCGTCTGTGTATTTATGCTTCTGTGTTTGTGTTCCTGTGTTCGTGCGTTTGTCTCTGTCTGTGTATTTATGTTGCCGTGTTTGTGTACGTGTGCCTGCGTTAGTGTGTCTGTGTGTGTATTTATGGTGCCGTGTTTGTGTACGCGTGCCTGCGTGTTTGTGTATCTGTACCCGTTCGTTCGTGCGTTTGTGTCTCCGTCTGTGTGTTTATGCTGCCGTGTTTGTGTACGTGTGCCTGCGTGTTTGTGTCTCTGTGTCCCTGTGTTTGTGTATCTGTGTCTCCGTCTGTGCATGTAGTGCCGTGTTTGTCTGTGTGCGTCTGCGTTTATGTCTCCGTCTGTGTATTCATGCTGCCGTGTTTGTGTCTGCGTGTGTCTGCGTGCGTCTCCCTGTGTCTCCCTGCGTTCGTGTCTCCCTGTGTCTCCCTGCGTTCGTGTCCCCCGTCTGTGTCGCTCACCTCCGCGTGGTTCGCGTAAAATCCTCCCCACTCGGCGCTCTCCTGCTCCTCCATCTTCACGCACGAGTGCGCTGGGGACACGCGCAGCATCGCCGCTCGCTCGCCGCGTGCACGCGCGCGTCTGTGCGCGTGCGCGTGCACAGACGCGCCTCGCAGCGAGGGCGTCACGCGCAGTTGCGTCAACTCCCCTCTGTGTGCGTGGGTGTCAGTTGAGGCAAACTTCGCTGTGTGTGTGTGTGTCAGTTGAGTCAACTTCTCTGTGTGTGTGTGTCAGTTGCGTCAACTCCCCTCTGTGTTGCGTGTGTCAGTTGTGGCAACTTCGCTGTGTGTGTGTGTGTCAGTTGTGTCAACTTCGCTGTGTGTGTGTGTGTGTCAGTTGTGGCAACTTCGCTGTGTGTGTGTGACAGTTGTGTCAACTTCTGTGTGTGTGTGTCAGTTATGTCAACTTCTCTGTGTGTGTGTCAGTTGTGTCAACTCCTCTGTGTGTGTGTGTCAGTTTAGGCAACTCATCTGTGTGTGTGTGTCAGATGTGTCAACTTCTGTGTGTGTGTGTTTCAGTTGTGTCAACTCCTCTGTGTGTGTGTCAGTTGTGGCAACTCATGTGTGTGTGTGTCAGTTGTGTCAACTTCGCTGTGTGTGTGTGTCAGTTGTGTCAACTCAACTGTGTGTGTGTCAGTTGAGGCAACTCCTCTGTGTGTGTGTGTCAGTTGTGTCAACTTCTGTGTGTGTGTGTCAGTTGAGGCAACTTATCTGTGTGTGTGTCAGTTGTGTCAACTCCTCTGTGTGTGTGTTAGTTGTGTCAACTCCTCTGTGTGTGTGTCAGTTGTGTCAACTCCTCTGTGTGTGTGTCAGTTGTGTCAACTCCTCTGTGTGTGTGTGTCAGTTGTGTCAACTCCTCTGTGTGTGTGTGTTTCAGTTGTGTCAACTTCGCTGTGTGTGTGTGTCAGTTGTGTCAACTCCTCTGTGTGTGTGTCAGTTGTATCAACTCCTCTGTGTGTGTGTCAGTTGTGTCAACTCCTCTGTGTGTGTGTCAGTTGTGCCAACTCCTCTGTGTGTGTGTGTCAGTTGTGTCAACTCCTCTGTGTGTGTGTCAGTTGTGTCAACTCCTCTGAGTGTGTGTGTCAGGTGTGTCAACTCCTCTCTGTGTGTGTGTCAGTTGTGTCAACTCCTCTGTGTGTGTGTCAGTTGTGTCAACTCCTCTGTGTGTGTGTCAGTTGTGTCAACTCCTCTGTGTGTGTGTGTCAGTTGCTGCAACTCCTCTGTATGTGTGTCAGTTGTGTCAACTCCTCTGTGTGTGTGTGTCAGTTGTGTCAACTCCTCTGTGTGTGTGTTTCAGTTGTGTCAACTTCGCTGTGTGTGTGTGTCAGTTGTGTCAACTCCTCTGTGTGTGTGTCAGTTGTGTCAACTCCTCTGTGTGTGTGTCAGTTGTGTCAACTCCTCTGTGTGTGTGTCAGTTGTGCCAACTCCTCTGTGTGTGTGTGTCAGTTGTGTCAACTCCTCTGTGTGTGTGTCAGTTGTGTCAACTCCTCTGTGTGTGTGTCAGTTGTGTCAACTCCTCTCTGTGTGTGTGTCAGTTGTGTCAACTCCTCTGTGTGTGTGTCAGTTGTGTCAATTCCTCTGTGTGTGTGTCAGTTGTGTCAACTCCTCTCTGTGTGTGTGTCAGTTGCTGCAACTCCTCTGTGTGTGTGTCAGTTGTGTCAACTCCTCTGTGTGTGTGTGTGTCAGTTGTGTCAACTCCTCTGTGTGTGTGTCAGTTGCTGCAACTCCTCTGTGTGTGTGTCAGTTGTGTCAACTCCTCTGTGTGTGTGTGTGTTAGTTGTGTCAACTCCACTGTGTGTGTGTGTCAGTTGTGTCAACTCCTCTGTGTGTGTGTCAGTTGTGTCAACTCCTCTGTGTGTGTGTCAGTTGCTGCAACTCCTCTGTGTGTGTGTCAGTTGCTGCAACTCCTCTGTGTGTGTGTCAGTTGTGTCAACTCCTCTGTGTGTGTGTGTCAGTTGTGTCAACTCCCCTGTGGGTGTGTCAGTTGTGTCAACTCCTCTGTGTGTGTGTCAGTTGTGTCAACTCATCTGTGTGTGTGTCAGTTGTGTCAACTCATCTGTGTGTGTCAATTGTGTCAACTCCTCTGTGTGTGTGTGTCAGTTGCTGCAACTCCTCTGTGTGTGTGTCAGTTGCTGCAACTCCTCTGTGTGTGTGTCAGTTGCGTCAACTCCACTGTGTGTGTGTCAGTTGTGTCAACTTCTCAGTGCGTGTATCACTTGTGTCAACTCCTCTGTGTGTGTGTCAGTTGTGTCAACTCCTCTGTGTGTGTGTCAGTTGTGTCAACCCCTCTGTGTGTGTGTGTCAGTTGTGTCAACTTCTCTGTGTGTGTGTCAGTTGAGGCAACTTCGCTATGTGTGTGTCAGTTGTGTCAACTCCCCTGTGTGTGTGTGTCAGTTGTGTCAACTCCACTGTGTGTGTGTCAGTTGTGTCAACTCCTCTGTGTGTGTGTCAGTTGTGTCAACTCCTCTGTGTGTGTCAGTTGTGTCAACTCCTCTCTGTGTGTGTGTGTCAGTTGTGTCAACTCCTCTGTGTGTGTGTCAGTTGTGTCAACTTCTCTGTGTGTGTGTCAGTTGAGGCAACTTCGCTGTGTGTGTGTGTCAGTTGTGTCAACTCCCCTGTGTGTGTGTGTCAGTTGTGTCAACTCCACTGTGTGTGTGTGTCAGTTGTGTCAACTCCTCTGTGTGTGTGTGTCAGTTGTGTCAACTCCCCTGTGTGTGTGTCAGTTGTGGCAACTCCTGTGTGTGTGTGTCAGTTGTGTCAACTCCTCTCTGTGTGTGTCAGTTGTGTCAACTCCTCTGTGTGTGTGTCAGTTGTGTCAACTCCCCTGTGTGTGTGTCAGTTGTGGCAACTCCTGTGTGTGTGTGTCAGTTGTGTCAACTCCTCTCTGTGTGTGTCAGTTGTGTCAACTCCTCTCTGTGTGTGTCAGTTGTGTCAACTCCCCTGTGTGTGTGTCAGTTGTGTCAACTCCCCTGTGTGTGTGTCAGTTGTGGCAACTCCTGTGTGTGTGTGTCAGTTGTGTCAACTCCCCTGTGTGTGTGTCAGTTGTGTCAACTCCTCTGTGTGTGTGTGTCAGTTGTGTCAACTCCTCTGTGTGTGTGTCAGTTGTGTCAACTCCTCTGTGTGTGTGTAGGTGTGGAGTGTGGGTGTGTGTGTGTGTAGGTGTGTGTGTGTGGGGGTCAGGCTTTTATGACGTCTAATGGCCAAACCCCATTTGGTGGAGCCAGGAGATTGAATTTTCACCCTCGGGGCTCCTCCAGAAACAACAAAAAACCATTGCGGGTGGCCACGTGGAATGTTCGAACGCTCACTGCGGAGGAGAGGCTGCCACTCCTCTGTCGGGAGCTGGACCGGTACCGCCTGGATCTCTGTGGCATTCAGGAGGTCCGGTGGACCGGTTCTGGCTCCTGCCACCATGAGGGGTGGACAGTCCTCTACTCGGGGCAGGAGACTGCCAAACAACAGGGAGTGGCTCTTCTTCTGAACAAAAGAATGAAGGGGGCGTGGGAACGTGGCGGTGAGGTGTGGGAAGCTGTAAGCCCCAGGATACTTTGGGCTCGCCTTCCCATCAACCGGAGGCGAGGAGTGGTGGTCGTGGTTACTTATGCCCCCACCGAAGACGAACATCCGTGGAGGGATGCAAGCAAAGCCGATGAGTCAGACGCTTTCTATGACCTCCTGTCACAGGTGCTGGCTAAAGTGGCCACTCGGGACAGAGTCATCTTGTTGGGTGACTTCAATGCCCGAGTTGGTCATGATGCTGACACCTGGTCTGGAGTGATTAGAAGGCATGAGCCAGATCAGCTCAATAATAACGGTAGGAGGCTGCTAGATTTTTGTGCAGCCCATGGGCTTGTAATTACCAACACGCTCTTCCGGCATCGGCGCATCCACACAACATCATGGATACATGCCGGGTCCAAGCAAGAGCATCTGCTGGACTACATAGTGACGGACCAGCGAATGCGAGCCCATGTCCTTGACACCAGGACCTACCGTGGAGCTGATCTTCCCTCTGACCATCGACTAGTCATCTGTAAGATGCGCCTGCCTTTCTTCCACTCCGGTGGTGGGTGTACACCCAGGATCCCATTCCAACCAAAAGTGGCCTGGTCTCAGTTAGCTGATGAAAGTTGCAAGCGAGAATTTCATCATCGCTTGCAGCTGGGGTTGGCATCGTCCCCCACTCCACCTGATGTCGAGGGTAAATGGGCGAGGTTTAAGACTGTGACTCATGCAGCTGCAATGGCTGCTTTGGGTACGCGGTCCAGACCTCCCCAGAAACCCTGGCTGACAGAGGAGGTGTTCAGGTTAATCGAGAAAAAGCGACAGGCCCACTCTCATCGCCTACAGCATCCCACGTCAGAGAATGAGGAGGTTTACCGCAGCCTTCGCTCAGAAGTTCGGAGAGCCGTAAGGCGCTGTAAGGATGGGTTGTGGTCGCGGGTTGCTGAGGAGATGGAGTCTGCCTCAGTGGCCCGTGATCACAAATCACTATTTAACTCCATCAAAAAGTAACCTGCAGCGCCACACCTATTACCATCATTAGAGGAAAAAACGGTGATCCAATCTCCGACCCCCAGGAACAGGTTTGCAGATTTGCTGAGCATTTCTGTGAGGTCCTGGGGGAGGGAAATTCTCTCAGCCAGGAAAACATCATGGCACAAAGTGGTGATAACCCTGCTGAGGCTGCGGTGCCTCAAATATTGGAAGAGGTCACCCCCTGTGAGTGGCTGGCTGAGGTGCCAGCTGTTGAGGAAGTACTGAGGGCGATCCGGAGTCTGAGACCAGGGAAGGCACCGGGCAGAGATGATCTCCCAAGCGAAATGCTGAGGGAGGGTGGCGTTTGTGCACAGACTGCCCTATATGACATCATAACAACAGTCTGGACCACTGGACGGGTCCCGCAGGACTGGAAGGATGCCCTGGTGGTCCCCCTCTTTAAGAAGGGGGACCGTACCGACTGTAACAACTACAGGGGCATCTCACTCCTCAGTGTGCCGGGTAAGGTCCTGGCAAGGATTATTCAACATCGCCTTGCTAGGCACGCTGAGGAGAGGCTTGCGGA